ATTAAAGTTATAAAATATGATAAATAATTTTTTTAAAAAATATAACTGTTATTGCTTAAATTCTACCGAAAACAAGTCTATATATTTTTCGTCTTATGACTTACTAAAGGTGTTAAATAGAATAGAATTTGCATCACCTAAATAGATGACACAAAGGACATTTATTGGTTCTGCCGTCTTAGTTGAAATGAAATGGGAAAAGAAATTGAATGAAGTAAAATTGAATAGAAATAGAATATTTCTCTAATTTAGTTGGATTGTAAAAGAGAGATAAAACACAAATAAAATAAAATTGGAGGGACTCATAATTTTATATTTCATTATCCTGAATGTATGTCTCTGGTTTTTTTTACCTCTTAATATATATTTCAAAGAATAATTATTGAACATTTTTTCACTGTATTGAAATGTATTTTAGAATTAGAATATTCTTAAAATATGTAAAAAAATTACTTGAAAACTTATCAGTGCTTGATTAAGTGTACATTTTTATAAATTTAAATATATTATAATCAATTGAACATCGTATTTATTCAATATACTTGATTATTCAATACAAATACAAGCGGAAAAACTTCAAATTCTCATCATAACTTTTACATATTTTACAAATATAAGCATCTTCTCTTTCGGATAAAAAGCTTAGATACAATTATCTTTGTATAAGTGAGAGGAGCCTAAAAAAGCTTTTTGAGAAAGATTACTTGGGTTAAACACGAAGAACTTAGTGACATAATAGTTTAAAAATTGAAGATTAAGAGAACTTTTACACTAGTTGAATTGTCTTAGTAAAAAATCTTGGTACTTGGCAAGAACTAGATAAACAATATTTAATTACTATTGTTGTGCATGTGTTATTCGTTTTTACAACGATAATAGTACAATACAAAATTGAAACAAAATTTTCATTTAGTATTGGAATTGTTTATTAATGTGTAAATCAATCAACAAGAGTAAAGTATAGATAATGACAAATTTTACTAAATAGAAAGAAAATGAATGAAATGATAGATTTGATAATATATTAGTTAAATTCTATATCTAGAAATTGGATGACAGTAGGGTTGGGATAAGTATAATTAGAACATGACAACATGTGTAGACGCCTACTTTTTGAAAAACACCTATATATATACTTATATTCGCGGCAAAGCAGGTAATAATGTTGGTATTTGTGCACGTAGTTAATGAATATTTATATAGTTGTATTCATTACTCGTTTTGGTTAAATAAAATATTTTAACATGCCGTAGTTGATGTGAAAGTCAAAAACAATTTTAAATGCAACATTTAACTCAATTAAAAAGTGTTAAGTGTAAAGACAAAAATATAATTAAGTTTTTAAAAAATTAATCGTAATATACATATCTCTATCCATTTATATAAGTATACTATAAATAAATTTAGTACTATGATATTATTTATATACTTATAAAATTAATTTAAATAATTATCTTGAAGCTCAATTATATTTGAAGGAAAAATTATTATCAAATGTAGTTAATTTTTATAGATATTAATTCAATAGGGACATTTATAATTTCTTACGCATGAAACGTTATAACTTATAAGTTTAAGGATATGCCATCGTAATTTAAATTATATGTCTAGACGTATGATCACAATAAAGTTGAGATAATAATTAAAACACTTGTTAATACTTACAATAAATCATTTGGATTTATATACATATTTAATAGATATTATATATAAATAATTTTATGGTGTTCTTTAGAATGAGAGAATATTATATATTTTTTTACATAATAGAGTTAGTAATTTATTTAAAAATAAATAAATATTATTTAATTTTTAAAATATTAAAAAAATCATACTCTTAACTTAAAGAAAGAATACAACGTCTTCCAATTTTTGAGGAACTTAGCAAGTAATATATTTAGATTCAATATTTCTTAATTTTTGGTTAAATAAACATTTTAATATGTCTTTATTTATAAATTATTAAATAAAACTATTACTTTAATATTAAAATGTACAATAAATTAAATTTTGGTTAATGATCCTTGAAGAATTCTATATCTCAATAGTTCTCTAATCCATTTACTTATTTCTAAGTCTGATCCTTTATCTATTCTTAAGTATGATCATGTTGTCATCTGGCTGAGAATCAGAGGGGTTAATGAACATAGAAGTAAAAAACTTTTCAAATTCTTTGCACCTTAGATTTCTCATAGTGACTTTGATGATTAGGTTAGGAATTATTGGGTTTTGTCTCAACCTTGGAATAATAATATTACTCATTTTCAAAATAACATATCTAAATGGAATAAATCCTCCTTTGGTAATATTCTCAATAGGAAAAAAAATGCTAAACAGAATTAAAGGTATTTCTTGCAAATTAGGTTATAATAATAATCTTTTTCTATCTAATTTAATGATAACTCTTTGGACAAAATATCAGAACCTTTTGGATCAAGAAGAAACTTTTTGTTACCATCAATACAAAACAAATTGGATTAAATTTGGGTATAGGAATAATAAATTCTTTCACAAAGCAGTCTTAATTCGTAGACATAAAAACTCAATTGAGGCCTTAAAAAATGATATGAACAATTAGGAATATGAACCTCAAAAGCTTAAACAGATTGCCCTTAATTTTTTTGAACAATTCTATTCTGTCAATAATTCTAAAATTGTGAACCTTACCACTATTACTTGTTTTTCACCTCTTAGGGAATCTAATAAAAATAGGTTGTACTCTAACTTAACTTTAAATGAAATTAAAAATTCTTTATTTAGCATAGGAAACTTTAAATCTTCTGGGCCAAATGGTCTTCATGCTCTCTTTTTTAAAAATCAATGGGAGTTTTTTGCCCCTTTCATTCATAAGTTTGTGTTAGATATTTTTAATAATCCTCATAAAATTATTGAGGTGAATGAAACAACTATTAACCTTATTCTTAAGTCTGAAAACCCTGAATCTATTAGAAATTTTAGACCTATCTCTTTATGTAATGTTAGTTATAAGATCATCACAAAATTAATTGTTAATAGGATTAGGGAGTCCCTCCCTTATCTTATTTCTCCTTGCCAAATTAGTTTCATTCCTGACAGGCAAGGAATTGACAATTCTTTTATTCTTTAAGAACTTTTACATTCGTTTAATAGGTTAAAAGGTAAAGGTGGCTATATAATTATTAAACTTGATCTTGAGAAGACATATAATAGGCTGCATTGGCCTTTTATTAAAGATACCCTTCAAAAAATAAGGCTGAAAACGGAGTTTTCTTATCTCATTTATCAATGTATATCTTACTCCTTAATGTATATTAACTGGAATGGATCCAGAACTAGAAATTTTAAGCCTGCTAGGGATATTAGACAAAGAGATATTATATCCTCTTATATTTTTATTTTATGTATTGAAAAGTTAGCAGACTTAATTCAGGACAAATTTTTTAACAAGGAATGGTCTCTTTTTGCTTTTAGTAGTTTAGGACTTATGATTTCTCACCTTTTCTTTGTTGATGATATCCTTTTGTTAGCCAAGGCTGATATAGCTAATTCTCATGTTATCAATTATATACTTAATGAGTTCTATTCTACTTAATGTTTAGTATTAATATTGTTAAATCCTCCTTATTTAGTTCTAAGAATACTGATCCTCAGGTTGCTAAGAAAATTAGTGATATCCTTGGAATTAATCAATCCAATAAAGTTGGAAAATATCTTGGGATACCCATCTGTCACCATAAACTAGCTAAGAATGAGTTTGGTTTTTTAATAGATAAAATTAGGAAAAAAACTCTCTATTTGAAAGACGAACTCTTTATCTCTTGCTGCTAGAGTCACAGTAGCTCAATCTAGTCTCTTGACTATCCCTTCTTACATTATGCAATCTGTCTTGCTTCTTGTTTCTGTATGCAATGAGGTGAACAAGATCTATAAGAAATTCATTTGGGGTTCCTTGGGTGGTCGTAAATGTCATCTTGCTAGTTAGGAAAAAATTTGTAGGCCGAAGTATGAGGGTGGGGCTTGGTTTCAGGGATATTCACCTCCTGAACAAAGTTTTCTTAATGAAACTCTGGTGGAGAATGATGTCATTTCCCTACGACCTGTGGGCTCAAGTGATTACTAATAAATACAAATTTTCTAGTGGAAAAAAATCCTAAATTAAGTAACTATCACAATCCCTCTTACCTCTGGAAGAGTTTGATATCTGTTTGGGATAATTTCTTTAAAGGGCTAGGCTAGATCATTAAGGATGACTTATATACCAAATTTTGGAAGGATAGGTATATTCCCAATCTCCTACCTTTATCTTACTATGCATTACATCATATTTCTGCTGATAGTTTTGATGGTCCTGTTTTTTTATTTTTCTTCCCATTGTAACTGAAATTGGGGTATAATTAGGAAAATGTTGCCTGATATGAGTCTATCTGTGAGTGCATGGATAAAATTAATCATCCCAATGTCTCAAAGGGGTATGATTTGTTTTACTGGAGTTTGTCTAGTAATGGACTTTTTTCAGTCAAATCTGCATATAAATTTTTGTCTGCTGCTCCCCATAATGTTGGAGATGACAACATTACCTTTTAGCTCGTTTGTAATTGGGAAGGTCCCTCTAAAACTGTTATTTTTCTTTGGAAAATGGCACAAGGTAGGCTCTTTACAAACTTTGAAAGGTTTAGGAGAGGTATGTCTGATTCTGCTATATGCTCAAGGTGTAACAATGCTCTTGAATCTATCCCCCATGTCTTAAGAGATTGTTGATTTGGTGAGCATGTCTAAAAATATTTTATTTTACCTACTAATTGGGTTTGTCTCTTTAGCTTAGAGCTTTCTGATTGGCTAAAGTTTAATTTATCTAAAGCTAACCATAATAATTTTCCCTCCTGGAATATGTGTTTTTGGGTTATTATATGGCATCTGTGGAATAATAGAAACTATGAGATTTTTCAAAATTTTGTTGTCATGCCTAATGTGTTAATCAATAATATTCTTTGTGATTTTAGTTATTTTTCATTTTGTGGCAGGTTAAATGCAAAGTTGATTCTAATTATTTGAATCCTCATAACCAGATCAGGTGGTACCTTCCCCCTGCAAGGCAATTTAAGCTGAATGTGGATGGATCTGTCTCAAAATCTGGGCTTGATGCTGGATGTGGAGGCTTAATCAAAGATGCTAAAGGAGATTTTGTGATTGAATTTCAAAGTAGTTTAGAACCTTGTTCTCCCCTAACTGCTTAGTTATGAAGTTTCTTTTGGGGGATCAAACTTGTTCTCCAACAAAGTTTTGAGTTAATATGAATAAAAAATGATTATAAAAAACTTGTGTCTCTGATTTTGAATGTACAGGATTGTAATCATTTATTGTTCCCGTTGATTAATAGTATTAGATTGTTACTAAAGAGTATCAGTTATATTAAGATTAGTTTCTCTCCTAAAAAGGCTAACCAAAGTGCAAATAGATTAGTTAAGATTAGTTTAGAGGACTGTTCGCCTTTTTCTTTTTTTTATAAGACCCTCTCTTTGTTGTGGCCTTTTGTAAGTAGAGATGCTTTGGGTTTTTGGTTCTTAAAAAGACTAGTTAATTTTGTCCTTGTTGTTTGAGTATTTTTGACCCCATCTATCATAAAAAAAATGCACAATAAAATTTAATAAAATAATAAATATTATTTTGAAATACAATACATCTATTCCAATTAAGAAAATATTATTTTTCTTTTAAAATTATAGTTATAAAAATAATTATTAATATTAAAACAAGTATGTATATACATGTGCACGTATACAAATACATATTGCAAATTCGATACCATGGTAATCGACATTCACAAAATTTGGTGAATAAATGACCTCGACATTCAAATTCATTTGATAGACAAACAATACACTCAATTACATGCATATTTTTAATATTAATTGAATAGGTCGGATTATCATTATTTTGCTATATGAAACGTTATATTATTACGGATATGCCAACAAAATTTACATTTTAGATGAAGAGCGAACATTTTTCAGATAAATAATTATTTTGTATTAAGAAATTTTTTTAATATTTCACTAATTAGTATATTTAGACTTTTTAAATGCATTAATTAAAATATGTACTCATATCAAACAATTTAAAATGAGAATTATTACTTGTATAATTTTGGAGATTTATCTGTAAAACACTTGACCTTTCCTCTATTTTAAGAATTAATTTAACTGACATCGTTATCATTCCCTTGCTTTTCTGCACGAAAGGGAGATATTCCTTACCAAATTTTTTGTTGAATATTAGAACACGTAAACGAGCTTAATAAAAAATGAAATTTAAAGAGTAATTAGTTTAAATATACATTTTAAATAAAATTTTGAATTCCCATTTTGTATATAAATATAAAATTGCTAATAAAGAACTAGCTTAACGATATTATAAATGTTTTTATTTGGAATAAGATTATTTCGTACAAAAACCATTTATGGTGTAGAATAAAAATCGGAAATGAAAAGTTACCTTTGTAGAGAGGCATAGGCTAAGTGATGAGCATGGGCATCAATGATTAAATAACGTGCCATATTTAAAGCAACTAGCAGCTCCATATTTGCAAAAGTTGGGCTAAAGGATTCAAGGTCTAGGCATAGGCAAGTACTAAGTAAAAAAGATGTTCATTAAGTTACCAGTTCCCTAGTTGGTTAGGCATGGTGACCTCGATTAGTCATTACTTTTTGTCTAAGAATACAGCTAATAATTATGATATGACCCTAACAGCAAAGTCAAAACTTGGGTAGGCAAAGCAATTGCCTAATTGGCGATTTCTAAAGGGAAAAGAGGAATGCTTAAAAATAGCATGCAACTTTCGATACCCAAACTCATTTGTCTTGCATATTTTTCTTTTTGGTTAATTGTTAGCATTAGCCCCCCCATTCCAAGTGGTAATGAGGTGTGCCCTCAAGCATCAAGGTTCAACAGGATTTCGATTAAAACCCCTCGGGAAGCAAAATTTTCCACACCAATGTCATCTGAAACTCGGGCATTTATTACTTTTTAAAATGGACCAAATCTAGCTTAAGTTCTTTATATTTTTGGCATTAAACTTTCAAATTAAATAATAATATATGAACACTTTGCCAAAATATACTATTTAATATTAAAAGAATTTATGCAAGTGAGAAGATAGTTAACTTTTGGAGGTTAAGACGCACACATCATAACGCTGAAAATGGTGCAATAATAGTGAATTGGCCTCCTTACATGGTACCCGAAACAGCGCATTAAAGTGGTAGGAGAATCAGAATCTATATTGAACATACTACACACAATTAAATGGCATAAAATCATCACAGAACCGACATAGAAAAAGAGATATAATCTAGAGGTTGACCATCCTTAATTTCAAATATAACAATAAAAAGCATTTAAAGGAGATAATTAAGCAGAAGGATAGGTGTGAGATTTGGTGAAATAGAAGGGGACAGAATAGACATCCGCCCGGAAATACAGGGAGACCGTACAGTCTTAGACAGCAAAATAACCTCCACAAACAAAAGTGAGTCACTCCTACTACAGTGTAGTCTTTGTTCTTGTAACTTTCTTCTCTCTCCTCTCTCCCTCTCCCTCTCCCTCTCTGCCACACATCACACCCAACAGTCTCAGCATTGCAGCAGCTGCACCACTGCTCCACCTTCAGCATTCAGAAGAGCAAAAGGGAAAATTTAAATAAATACTAATAATAATAATATAATTAATACAAAAGAAAAAAAAAGAAAGAAAGTATTTTTATCTACTTTATTAATGAAATAATGAAGAAAGTATTTTTATCTACTTTATTAATGAAATAATGAAGTTAAGTTAAATCCGAATGAAAGGTTGATTTGATGCTTACCCAAAAAGCCAAACCCATTCATTCACTCTCTCCTCAAAGGAAAAGGGAAGAGCCCAAAAAGGGGGGGAAAATGAAGAGAGAGTGATAGGTCAGTGGGAGAGAAAGACAGAGACAGAGAAAGAGGGTCTCTTTCTTTTTGGAGTATTGGGTCAGGTTCTTTTGGCAATGCCCAAGTTGGTCTTCACGCTCTCTCAGTCTCAAGAAAATGCAGTATCAGCAGGAGGCATGAAAAAACCACTTCTTCAAATATCTCTCTCACACTCTGCAACCGCAACAATCTTCATTCGTTTTCTTCGCTTTCCCTCTTTCCTCTCTCGTCTTCTTTCCCATGGCTGGTTTGATCGATCTCAACAACACCACCGAGGACGATGAAACGCCGTCGTTTGGTTCCTCCTCCGTGTGCTTGGAACTGTGGCACGCGTGCGCGGGTCCTATGATCTCCTTGCCTAAGAAGGGAAGCGTTGTCGTGTACTTTCCTCAAGGACACTTGGAACACCTTCACGATTTTCCGCTCCCTGCCTCTCTTAATATCCCTTCCCATGTGTTCTGTCGCGTTGTTCATGTCAACCTTCATGTGGGTTTTCTTCCTTTTTATAAATTTGCTGTCTTTGTGGGTTTTCGCACCTGGGTATTGAGTTTTTACCGCTTTTTTTTTCCTTGTATTTGGTGTTTTTACGTGTAATGTGTTTGTTTGTTTTGTGCAGGCTGAGGAAGGGAGCGATGAAGTGTATTGCCAAGTGTTGTTGGTCCCTGAAAGTGAGGTGAGGATTTTTTTTATGGTTTTGCTTTGGTTCGGTTCCGGTTTGGAGAGAGTGCTCAAAAAGGGAAAAAAAATTAAATTCTCAACTCAGAATCTTGACCTCTTCAGTACCTTAGTGTTACTGGCTAAGCAAATTTGACCAATTGAGATTGATGATTATAGAGAAACTGCTTAATTGAGGTTTAGCTGAGAGTTGTATCTCTGGAAAACATGAAGTGCACAATATAGCCATAGGTTTAGTTTATTTTTATTTTTATTTTGGATGTCTATGTTACTTACTAGTCTTTTTTTCAACACACCCTTATCAGAGAAAAGGGGAAGTGCAATAAAGTGCCTTCATGAACTGATTAACTTGGCCATTGTTTATAGCAAGTGCAGCAAAAGTTGCGAGGAGGGGAAATTGATGCTGACGGGGAAGAGGAGGATAATGAAGCTGTGATGAAGTCAACACCCCACATGTTCTGCAAGACTCTTACTGCTTCTGATACCAGCACTCATGGAGGGTTCTCTGTGCCTCGTCGTGCTGCTGAGGATTGCTTTCCTCCCCTGGTAATTACGAATGATGATGCATTCTTTTTCTCTTTTGTCTGTTTGAGGGTTTCCTAGATTGCTCTTTTCTGTTTCACTATTTTATGTTTTATGTAATACAATTTAGTAGCTATTACAAATTATATGTGATAAGCACTGGTATCAAATTATATCAGACAATTCTTCCGTAGCATTTTGAATTTAAGTCCATTGTTACTATAGGATTACAGCCTACAGAGACCTTCACAGGAGCTTGTGGCAAAGGATCTGCATGGCCAGGAATGGAGGTTTCGACATATTTACAGGGGTATGTCTCTTATGTTCTCGTCTAAGTTAAAGTATATGCCAAGAGAGTACCACTTTGATTGTTTGGGGTTTGTATTGCCTGTTCCTCATGAACAGGGCAACCTCGAAGACACTTACTTACTACTGGATGGAGTGCATTTGTGAACAAGAAGAAACTTGTGTCCGGGGATGCCGTACTGTTTCTTAGGTATGGAGACCTTAATTCTATTAAATATTTACTAGTAATGTAGCGAAGACAGGATTGACATTTTATACTGCATGACAGGGGTGATGATGGGGAACTGAGATTGGGAATTCGTCGGGCTGCCCAACTGAAAAGTGGCAGTGCCTTTTCAACACTCTCCAGCCAGCAATTGAATCCTAGCTGTCTTATGGAAGTGGTTAATGCTTTATCTACAAGATGTGCCTTTAGTGTTCATTATAATCCGAGGTATTTTCGTGTTGTTCTATTCTACTTTCCTTAGTAGGTAATGTAAGAGAAACACTCAGTTTCTTTCTACACTGGAATTTCATTTTTGTACAAGATGTTATGCACGTTGTGGGATTCAGAAAGATTTTTAGTTACATATGAAATGAACAATCACTCGATCAGCATGTTCTGATATTCTTGGCCTAACCATTCTAGTTTAATGTGCTGAACACAGATTTGGTTTGACCAAAACTGCATCTAGCCATTCTAGCTCCACCTGCACATACTTTGAAGTATATTTTACTAAGAGTATAGTCAGAGACAAGACAAGCTAATAATTTATGTTCTTTCTGTGAATGCATTCTAACATTCAAATTGGAAGTTCACTTTGTGTCTGTCACTTATTTTTTGTTGTTACACAAGTTTATGTGTGTTCATGGCTTATGCCAAATACAGTCATTAATCATCCTCATATTTTCTTAGCCAATAACAGAAAGATATTTATCCCTAGGTGATAAACCTTCCTTTTCAACTTAAATACATGATTATGTGAATATCCTAGCAACATATAGTGCCTGTGTGTCAGTAGTTATGTCGCTTCCTCAAACAAATGAATTCTCGATGACAGTAAATCAAGGAATTATATGCTCAGACTATATAGTTTTGTTATATGCTAGCACAACTTAAGATGGTTTTATTTCATTCAGGCTTTTACTTCTATATACCATCTTGGTCTTAGTTTTCATGGATTTCTTGTTGTACTGCTTTTTTCTTTTTTTGCTTTTCTTGCTAAGCATGATATCTGATTAGTGTCTTCTATATTTCACTGTGTCTTTGTAGGGTCAACTCATCTGAGTTCATCATACCTGTCCAAAAATTTTTAAAGAGCCTTGATTATTCTTATTCAGTTGGAATGAGGTTCAGGATGCGTTTTGAAACTGAAGATGCTGCAGAGCGAAGGTTTGTTCATGATTTTGCTTGCTCCATTTAGATAACCCTATTACTAGAGAATCTTAATCAAATTATTTTTGGCAGATTCACAGGATTGATTGTTGGAATTAATGATGTGAATCCTGTTAGGTGGCCTGGATCAAAATGGAGATGCCTACTGGTATGGTTATCCTTTACATGCCAGATAATGTCAAGAGATGATTGTTCTGACACTTGTGGCTAGATGATATCTGATGATCACTTTAGCTTTGAAGGAAATACCTATGGTTTTTTTATTTTCAAGTTAGCTGTTTTGTTAGTGAAACTGTGGCTCCTTGTTTTAATAGCCACTGGCATAAGGCGTTTGAGCCTGCTACTGTGCCTGATTTGTTTGTTAGTATTGAATATAGAAAAGGCCACCTTCCATGTCTCTGCTTGAAGCTGAGTTCACCATATAGAAAATCTTTTAATTGCTGCTAATATATCGTTATTTTTCAGTTACTTTTCTAGATTTATATCACATGTCAATGGTCATCATCCCTCTGATAATATTGTCATTTTATTTTTAATGTTCTGCTAAAGTAGTAGCTATGCTTGGTTTTAATTTTCAGCTCATAACTTCAAAAGATTGATTGCATGTTTTCTTAAAGAAAACTATTGTTGTTTTTATAGTTATCTCATCTCATCATATTGTCCTCATAATTATGGCTTATTATGTGGTGTCTATCTAGAGGAACTTACTGATTGTGACCATATCTTTTTCTCATATTTTGCAGGTGAGGTGGGATGACTTAGAAACCACAAGGCATAATAGGGTTTCTCCATGGGAGATTGAACCATATGGTTCTGCTTCCACTGCCAATAACTTGATAGCAGCTGGTTTGAAAAGGACTAAGATTGGATTGCCTTCAGCAAAGCTAGAATTTCCAGTTCCCAGTATGTCTCACTTTTTCTTCTCTACTTTTGAGTTGTCCTGTCTCATGCAACATTGATGAGTTTTTCTGTTCTTTTGCAGATGGGATTGGGACATCAGACTTTGGGGAATCACTAAGGTTCCAGAAGGTCTTGCAAGGTCAAGAAATGTTGGGTGTTAATACTACTTTTGATAGTATTAGTGCTCAGAGTCACCAACTATCTGAATTAAGGAGGTGCTATCCTGGTTCAAACTGTCCTGGGATCGCTGCAACGACAGGAAATAGTATCAGAATCCCACAAGTGAGTTCTGATCTTTCCTGCAACGGCATAGGCTTTAGTGAATCTTTCCGATTCCAGAAGGTCTTGCAAGGTCAAGAAATACTTCCTAGCCAACCATATGCTAGGGCCTTGTCTGTTGATGAGGCTTGTGGAAATGGTCGCTTTGGACTTTTCGATGGTTACCAGGCACTGAGATCCAAAAATGGATGGTCTTCCAACATGAATAACAATTCTTCACTTTTGCATCCACCGGTTCCATCCAGGCAAGTGTCATCTCCATCATCCGTGTTAATGTTCCAGCAAGCAGTCAATCCGGTTTCAACCTCGGATTATAACAATAAAATCAATCAGGTGATGAAGGATAAAGTCCATCAACGAGGTTCATATGCTTCTGAAGTAGAAGGTGGAACTTTTGTATCAACTCCTGCTTATGAACCTATTCTTTGTGGACTAGCTCATGAGGGCACAAATTCTTTTGCTATTTCAAAATTGCATAATCAGTTGGATAGTTCATGCTCACATGATTCCATTTCAGTACTGAGAGGCAGTCAAGAGTTGGTTTCCTCTTGTAAAAGTAGCTGCAGAGTCTTTGGTTTTTCATTAACAGAGGGTGCTCCTGTTGCTAATAAAGAGGCTGATGCATCTCCAGTCGCTTGTCAATTAAATTCTGGAGCTTCCTTTACAAGGCATGTTGAAGATGATTTTCATCCAGGGCATTCGCTTAGAAACAAGGCAGTTGGAAGTTATTGCACCAAAGTAAGCAATCTTTATCCTGTAAGAGACATGGTATTTGGTATAGTATTGTAGTGCACTTCTCTTAAATAGAATCCAAAGGTTCATTAACTGGAATCATTGATAGACTAAATTTCACTTCTTTGATCTTGGCGGCTTCGATCTAAACTGCAATTAGTAACATGAAAATTTCATGAAATAGCCAATGATTGCTCCATGATAAAATGGATAGTCACGAAAGAGTGAATGAAGTAATGCTGGTAGGAGTTACCTGATAGTATTCTGCTATCTAATTTTATTGTCAAAGCCCGTTCTGGCTACTGATTAGTATAATACTTAAGTGGGTTTTAACAAATGCATGTGCTGGCTCATGGCATTAAATGTTCACATAGCTTTGCTAGTCAGGCAGATTTATGATGTGTGAAAAAATAATAGTGCTGCTGCAGCACCTGTTCATTTATTTTTCTTTTTTGTTGTGTTTTCTACTCGAGCTTGATTCTCTGATCTTATTAAATTATAATTCTACATGTTATTTGCAGGGTGTGCTGCAGTATTGACCTTAAAATCATGATGCATGCTAGTTGTGACACGGGCGTGAGGTAGCAGAGGATAATGTCCTTAGTTGTTGTACTTTATGTATGTGCTTTGCTATAATAACCATAGATTTTGAAGACCAAAAAAGTTGTAACTATTCGCCAAATTCAGATATTTATCTTTTAAAATTGGCTGACTCACATTCAAGCTCCTGTATTAATCTTTTATGGTATGTTTATTGACCGGTATGAGGCAACCTCAATCCGATGCATGTTTATCCACCTTTTGGTTATATGCTGAACAAAGTGGCAGTGCATAGCGCTTCATTTATCTTAAATTGGGTATGACAACATTAGAGATCAAGAGCTCTTTATTTTTGTCTTTAGTGTTGTCCCCACATATTACTCTTTTCGCTTTTAGTTTGTTATATTTTTTAATTTTTCTGTGTCAGGTCTTTAATGTTAAGTTTAAAAGGTAATAATAACAAAATTTTGTTAAAGGAATTATTATTGCACTTCCATAACTTTAATACGAAAAACATTTTTAAAATACTTGAAATTGCTTTTTATATGGAGTTGTGCGATTGTTGGTCTGAAGGCACAAGAGATTCCACCGTACAAATTTCCTGATTGGGAAGATGAGCAGGTGTGACAAAATTGATTCTTCCATGTCTTCATTTGTCCACTTTTGAATGTTTGGTAACTAGGTCGGCAGAATTATTGGAATGTCAAATTTCAAAAGTCAGTCTTTTAAGGGCAAATAATGTTATTTGCTAGAGTTAAATAATTTTGACATTCATGACGTACTGCATGACCGAATAACTTAGTACCATTCAAGTTAAATTATGAACAAAACCTAGATTAATTTTATATATTTATACTATAATTTTCTAATCGAATTATCAAATTAAATTATTATATATATTTAAAGGAACTTATTTAATGTTGAAGGATAATTTATAAATAAGTTTAATTATTTGAACAACTAAAAGTTATAACATGTACTATAATTTTTATCTATCATTTAGTTTTTATCTTATTTTTTATATATGCATCTAAAAAGCATGTCTTGAATATTAAGTATTTTAATACGAGAAACATCACTCTATAATTATCATTTTGATTTGTGATCTTGATTGTTATGATGTAAGAAACGTTGATCTTTTGTGCTTGTATACTTACTCAGCGTCACTTTGTGTAGTTGTTCAAACACAGTTTTGTTTATGCTAGAAATTTTTGTTTTAAAATTTGTTTATACAAAATGTGTTTTACAATTAAAATTCCGATTCCAATTAGACTCTTCTAACTTGAAATTGTAATGATGTGGCTGGAACTTGCAACCACGATAAGTTATTCTTTTTGTGCACGTTTTCCTTATGAATTCTTGAGTAGAAAATTAGGGTAGTGCTTGAAGAAATATTCAAATCATTATCACGTTCAATTATAGGCTGTTGCAAAATTAGGTTCTTTAGCATATCCGAATGTCGAAAGACTTGTGGAGCTTAATTGCGTCTGTTGCCTTAATTTTTCAAAAATATAGACTAGCGAGGATTCGGGCTTATCTGTTTTATAATTAAAAATAATTATTATGATACTTTTCAATATAAAGCATTTGTTTCAATAAAATTATGTAGTTTAAATTAATTTATACTCGTACATAATCATATTTAACAGCTTAAAATGAATTATACTTAATTTTAAATTAAATAGTCACTTCGATACTGCCATAGAGTTGAACTTCACCTCACATATAAAGTTCACTTGGCGCTTCATATCATCAAGGTTTGCTTTTGCATTAGTTAAAAAAGACGGAACCGAGTAGAATAAAAGGAACATTTTGGATTGACAGAATAGAGTGGAATGAAATGAAACTATCCTAAATTGCATCACTTAGAGACTGTTTAAAATATATATATAAACTCTGTTTTTCTTTCTATTTCATTGTAACAAAATCAAATAATGAAATTATAAATTATTCTATTTTATTTTATCTTATTCTTGCTCAGCATGAAATATATGGCCATATTAATATTTTCAATGTAACAAAATTAGCTTCTCAATGTGTTTTTTATTCATTCAACATTTTTTAATTGTTCTTAAATTTTTATAAATTAAAATATTTATATTAATTTTTTATAAATATGAAAAGAATTAAAACATATTTCATAATAATTATAAAATTAGTGATAAAAAAGCTTACTTCTTACACGTAGAATTTCAGTAATGTCCCGTTCTTTACCGTTGAAGCTTATCAATATTGCATCTTTATTTAATTTTTTTTTAGTTATTATTATTATCATGAAAATTTTTCTGCAAGCATTGTTATTATTTTTTGTGATTTTTCTAATTTTTTAGAAGTGGGTCTTTTCTAAAAACAAAAAAGTGCAGTTGATTGACCATATGAAGTGGACTAGGCCCAATCCATTTAAAAATGAGTTAAGTTAATATTTTTTCAAGGTAAATTGCTCTATGGGCTAACCTAAGCTACTTGTTAAGTTTTTTAGCATAGGTCACGTGGGTTAAAATTTTCCATTTGACATTTTATATATATACATAGACACACGAAAACAAATTAACCAAAACTTAACTACAATGTACTCAAGCGAAATCAACAAGGAACATAATTTCCATCAAGAAGCATTTTTGTGTCATATATGCATATCATCAAGGAATTGAGGATATTATGAGGGTTGCTATGAGTGCTTTGGCACAAATCCTTTTGTGGTAATGTGAATATGGGACATTATTTAACTCTCCACGCTTTGCAAACTCGAATACAAAATTCAATCGTAACTTTATGCAGTCATGCAGACTGCATGTATGGTATATTAGCCATTACGTACTCTCCTCCACTTTATTTGCATAGAAACTTCTATTGTTCTAGTCATGTCTTCAAGGCATAGCTAGGTTGTCTACATCCAAAGATTCAAAACAAGATATTTCTCTCTTAACGTGAATAACACCTAAAATCTTCTTAGATCTCAATACATATTCTCAACCTTCTACCTAGTCTTCGTGCATCTTTCTACCTTTAAGTGTTAAAAAGGTTGAAAATGAGGCGCAAACGTGGGGAACAAGGTGCCGAGAATAAAGAAAATTAAGAAGTCGAAAAACAAATTGGCCATACACCATATTGAAGGTAAGAATCAAGTAGCAAAGGTAAAATATTCAATGATCAATTTCGACTGTTTTATGTCATAGATACTCTATGGAACCAAAGTAAATGGGCAGAAAGCCGGATGAGTAACATGTTTGGTTTTGCAATAGATTAGAATATATATGGAGTCACATTTGCTCAATGCTCCTAGTTACAACTTCTGCGGTGGATTACACATTTGTAGGCTTTCATCTAGAATTTCTGGGCTAGTGAGATTTTTCATGAAGATGACAGTTTGAAAACTCAAAAAAGAACAGGGTCAGTTTTGCTAATCCTTGTTCAATCAACGTAAAGAAAAAGAAATATTTTCATAAATTTTTTGCTAAGGTAAAAAGAGTATGTATTTTCGAAAACATACTTAATATGTAACGACAGGGTTATGTTAGTGTATTTTTACATTTTCGCTTAATATGACCCTGCAATTTGTGTTAAAACATGAGAGGATCTGGATCATGTATTACTATTTTGGTGTAACAAAGTCGTGAAGTAGATTGATTAATGTCAGGTGCATGCAAAGAGTGCATGTCATTGAGCTACCGGCCGAAAATAAGGTAGGTTGCTCCTCGAAGTCTATGATCGGACTTATTAACTAAATCACACTTATTTATGAAATAAATTATATTTAATCTTTTAAAAAGTTTATTTAGTTGAAAAAATTATCTTCATGCTATTCAAAAGTTTTCTAATCCTAACAAAATGACCTATTTAAATAAATGTAGTTGATGGTGATAATTATAAGATTATATATATTTATTTATTTATTAAATTTTATTAATTTCAGTTCTTAAGACTGAAGACAAGCAGTTAATAATAGTAAAATTTTATTAAAAAAATAATATTTATTATATTTTTATAACTTTAATATAAGTGTACATTTTTTTTATAAAAAATATCTATTTGTGTATGCTTAAATTCAAGCTTTAAGGCTGAGGTTAACAAAATTCTTATTTATTTTAGAATGATTAAATTAAAGATAAAAAAGTACTCTAACAACACTTATATGAAAAGTAAATATTTTCAAATGAATGATATTATAATGCTTTTATTTTTTTAAAAGTACAATAAAACGTATCAAGTTCACTTAAAATAAGTACAAAATATCAGTACACTAGTAAAATTATGAGAGAAAAAAATAGAAAACTCATTCTCCTTTTAAAACAGTTACACAAATACAATATTTTCAAATGAGTAATATTATAATGCTTCTATGTTTGAGAGTTGTTTTAGGAGGGGAGGAGAAGAGAAGGGTTAAGAGGGCTAATTTTTAGAAAAAATATTTTTTATAAAAAAATACAATAATATCATTTATATACTTAAACCCTCTGTCACTCACCTCTCTACATGTTAAATATTTTAGATAAGGGAAGAGTTTAACCTTCTTCCTCTTCCCTTTCTTTTCCTCCCCTCCTTTACCTTTCAAATTCTTAAACAAAGTCAGACCACTCAATCTCATTCAATCAATATCTATATTTATATCTATTTATTAATCTTTTATATTGATATGTAAAATTGAATATACTTACTTGTTATTACATATATTTTTAATAAAATTTATGATTATTAAACTTTAAAATGCTTAGAATCATACATAATATTGGTAACATGAATCATCAAGATGAATGCTAGCGCATGTTAAAAAATGAAACAAAAAATTAACTACAAATTGTATTTAATAAAAATTTATTAAAATTGATTACAATGTGTTACATATCTTAGGAATTTAAATAATAATTATTGCATTTGAATTATATTTAAGGAAATTTATTAGAATTAATTGTATATAAAAATTTTACATTGATAGTTATACGATATTAAGAACGGCAATATCAAATTGGCAATGAATTGTATTTAATAAAAAAAATATTAAAATTGATTATATATAAAAAAAAGTAAAAAGACTCACCATAAATATTGAAACTAAAAAATATATATTAATTAAAATTATACAAAATAACCTCACAAAAAATAAACAAATCTCTTGAATTACAATTTTATTGAAACTAAAATCATCTAAATTATTTTAGGTCTTACTCAAATTTGAATGGTATTGATAATTTTATTAATTAGTTTAATATATTTAGTATTTAAAAGTATGTATTAAAATTAAAAGATATTTGAAATTAAAAAAATACACATAATTATAAAATTATAGTTTTGTATTGCATATTATTAAATAATTTTTTTATGAAAAGATAAATTTTATTATATTAATTTTTTATTTTA